GTCGTTGCGCGTACTTATTACTACGCGTTGCCGCGTCAGCGCTCAGCATTTCGGTAATTGCATTGCGCGTTCTCGGTACGTCGCGGTCAACGTCCTTTGATTTATTGTAATTTTTTAATACAACGATATTGCTTATTTTACCCCGAATGCCTCGTCGGCTCGAATGGCTATTAATTGATTTTCACAATGCTTATTATTGTTGCAGGAGCAATCGGCCTCGCGACAGTATCAACAAGAACGACTTGTTTTTCCAACTTCAAAATCTATTTAAAATTTTTACTTTTTTGTTTAATATTAGTTTCTACACAAATCTACCACCTAATATTTTCCTAACGGACAAAATTTCTACGAATAAGTACAAATTTCTTTTAAAAATAAAAATTTATCAAAATTTCTATTTTCTATATTTCCGTAAAAATATTTATTTTTTTGGAAAAATATATCTACGCAATAGTACCACTAATTACAATTTTCTAAAGTGAAAAAAAAGTGATAAAAGTAATGTTACATGAAAATCCATAAATTTTTAGAAAATAGTACAACAATCTACAAATTTTGAAAAATGAGAAAGAACAAAATCTTCAGTAGTTAAAACATTTACTTATTTGTAGAATGCTACGATTATTTAGGAATGATTACAGAAATCTACCAGAATCAACGTACGTATCATAAAACTATTGAACTTTGAATCCAAATCTGTTTTTGATTTCCCATAAAATATTACAATTTTCTACATATATCAACAAAAACGATTTGTTTTTACAACTTTAAAACCTATTGCAATTATAACTACAATTAAAATTTATAATTTTTTGTTTCATATTTTTACTTTTGCATAGAATATTACAAATTTCTATGAAGAACAACAATATTCTTCAGTATTTTACGATTGATGAATCCGTGAAAATCTATATAAATTTACTTTCTTAAATTTTCATAAAATACTACAAGTTTTCACAGAAGTTCGGAGAAAATTTTTATCACTTGGAGATGAATATTTCTAAACAGTTGTAACTTCGCGTATAATACTACAAAAAAAACGGAATTCTTAAGCTTTTTACAATTCGAATTGTCAATAAAAATTTAAATATATCTGTTGTTTCTTCGTTTCTTCATGTACATGATACAAGTTTCATGCAACCCTAGAAAAAATTTTAATGAATAACTACAAAAAGCTACAAAAATAGAAATTTTTATTATTTCATATAAATTTGTATATTTTTGTAAAAATATTTATTTTAAGATAAAAACACCTACGCAATGATACCACAAATTACAATTTTTTTAAATCAAGAAAATAATAAAAATAATATTTCATGAAAATCGACAACTTTTTAGAAAATTGTACAAAAATTTACAAATTTTTAAAATAAAAAAACAAGATTTTAATTTGTAATTAAAACAGACTCGGCATGACTTGACATATGATTATGATAGAATACATATATTTTATTTATATTTATATTAGTTAAACACTTGACACCAAGCCACTACCGTGTTTTCTGATATATACCGGAGATACTTGTATGTATTAAACAGAAATTTACATTT